CCCCTTAGCTCCTCTCCTTCGAAGCCCATCTTGTCTAGCTGGCCAGGCCCCCAGGTTTCAGCCGTGCCGATTGCTGCGGAGCGAGGACAGGGCTCTTTTTAGTTGGGAACTAACACATGGAGTCTTGAAGGCTCGTCTGCTTCTCTCTTGGCTTTTTAAAAAGCAGCTTTTTTGAAGAATAATTTACATACCATAAGATTCACCATTTGAAATGTGTAAGCAATGAATGTTAGTAAGTTGACCGGGCTACCACCAGCACCACAAATGAGCTTTTAAACATTCCTGTCACCCTGGAAATATCCCCGGTGCCCATTCCCAGTCCATCTGAGTTACCACCAGCTCCAGGCAACCACCGATCTGCTCTTCATCCTCATAGCTCCTCCCTTGAGTTTTCCTGCCACTTTTCAGAATCCCGGTGTCTTCTATACTGACTGCTCAGACTTGCCTAAGAACTTTTCTTCTGATTTGGTTACTTAGCTTGGTGACCTCACATTTTACCCTTTCTTTCCATGCTCAAGTTTCTCTTGGCTTTCTTTGTTGTGTGTGCAGCAAGCTGCTGACCTTTGGCTTATTAAGAAACTAGAGCTTTTTTTCCTCTTTTAGAATATGGAAAACTTGAATAGTGTCATGTACAAAACAGATGCTGACCATTATTTACTGAATAAAGGGATCTAAGCCCCTCTAAGGCATGGAAAATCTTGTCTTCTGTTGTATTCAGCATAGTGCAAATAAAGAGCGACTTAATTGTTACTTTGGGTAATAAATAATTTTTATATTTTGATAAGAATATTGACATTGATTTATTAAAATGATTCATGCTTGATAGCTTAAAGAGTATAAAACAAAGTAATGCACTTGTAACATATAATATGATCCAACAATTCCATTTCTGGGTATATACCTTAAAGAATTAAAAGTAGAAATTCAAAAAGACATTTCTACACCCATGTCTTAGCAGCATTGTTTGTAATAACTATTATAAACGGTGGAAGCATTCCAAGTGTCCATCAGCAGATGAATAAACAAAACGTGGTCTTTATCTACAATGGAATGTTACTCAGACTTAAAAAGAAGGAAATTCTGGCACATGCACCAACATGGATGAACCTTGAAGACATTATGCTTAGTGAAATAAACCAGACACAAAAGGACAAACACTGTGCTCCTAGGGGTGTACCTCGAGTACCCAAACCTACAAAGACAAAGTAGAATGATGACTTTCAGAGAGGGGGAGATGCGGAGACATTGTTCAATGGATTCAGAGTTTCAGTTTTGCAAAACGAAAGGAGTTTTGTGGGTGGAGGGTAGTGATGGTAGCACAACAGTGTGAATGTACTTAATGCCATTGGACTATACATTTGAAAATGACTAAGATTGTAAATTTTATGTATGTATATTTTATCACAATTAAAAAAAGTTTTTAAAAGAGAATGATAGAAAAGAAAGTACAAAGAAGAAAGTTAAAGCATTATCCGAAATACCACCTCTTAGACGCAACCAATGTAAAATATGCTGATTATCTTTCTAAATATTCTCCCAGCAGTGATACATGTATATCATGACAAATGTTGACGCAGGCTCCAAGCTGGGAAGGAGGCATTGGGCATAGTGGGAATCCAAGCCAGGACACCAGTCCATGGGTGTCCCTGAGAGGAGGCCTGCAGCAGGGACAAGGCCTGCCCTCGCGAGGTGCAGGAGCTATATGAACGGCAGCGCTAAATGAAAGGCAGGTTTAGGCCTGTGCAGGGGCTTCGGTGCCCGCCATGGGGACAGTAGGGAGCAGAGGCGATGGGAGCCCCCTGGTGCAGTGGAGTGGAGGGTGGGGGCCCAGGCTGCTGCAGTTGAGCTTCCCTGGGGGGTTCTGTGGAAAAGAGAACATAGTGAGCACAGCTGTAAGTTCACTGAGAGTTTTTTCTTTGAGAAAAGATGATGTACTCTTGGAACTCCTAGATTCCAATTGGGGAGACTTTGCAGTGGGGATGAAGGTCAGGTTATAGTAGCAAATGACTACAGCCAGAAAAATACCATTTACTACTGTTAACATGACCCCATCTGTACCCCTGACCTTGTATGGTCTAGGGAAACATGGTATGCACAAAATACATAGGCACATATTCAGCCTAGACTTTTCCTTCACATATAATGTGAACTTCAAAATCTTGAAGGCAAATGATGTTTTAAAGAGACAGTGTCTCACTTTGCCCAGGCTACACTCAGGCAATCCTCCTGCCTCAGCCTCCCAAGTAGCTGGGACTGCTGGCATGCACCACTGTGCCTGGCTCAATGATGATTTTTGGTTTTGGCTTTTTCTTTCTTTTTTTCTTTTTCTTTTTTTTTTTTTTTTTGAGACAGGGTCTTGCTCTGTTCCCTGGGCTAGAGTGCAGTAGCTCATTACAACCTCAAATTCCTGGGCTCAAGTGATCCTCCTGCCTCAGCCTCCCCAGTAGCTGGACTACAGGCATGCACCACTGTGCCCAGCTAATTTTTCTATTTTTCTGTAGAGACAGGGTCTCACTATATTGCTTAGGCTGGTCTTAAACTCCTGGGCTCAAGTGATCCTCCCACCTTGGCCTCCCAAACTGCTAGGATTACAGGCATAAGCCATCACACCTGGCTCTTAATGATGACTTCTTTTTTTATTACTATTTACGCCAAGCTTTGAGAGAAGGCAATGGGCAGATAATAGAGTTCTCATAGGCTCAAGGGGTGGGTCACTTAATGAGTCAGTGACTGAGAGAAATACAGGGGATTTTTTTGTATGATTTTATAGGGCTAATTATATCTTTCATTTAGATTGTAGCAATGTTTATTCGTATTTAAGTTAAGCCCCATTGAGGATAAAGACATGTTCTATCTAATTCAAGAAGGGTTTTCAAGATTTTCTCCTTAAAGATATTCTACAGTTTAAAGCTGCTTATTACAAGAAGCTATTTGTTTTCTCTGAATCCTGAAATATTGGCTTCTCTTTGAAGAGTCTGTGCCCAACTTTTACTGGAGACAAAGTGGTATAGTGTTGAGAGAACAAGTACTTTGGAGGCAACAGGCCAGCATAAAATTCCAGCTCCCTACTTTTAATCTATATGACCTTGGGCAAGACAGCTTAATCTCTCTGAACTGCAGTCCCTTACTTGTAAGAGGAGAGAAAGAATAGCTACTTTACTTGGTCAGATCATGTCTGATTCAGCTGGAATTCAACACTGAGGAGGTGTACTAAGTTGTATAACAAACAACAATTAGGTGACTCAGATCTTGTTCAATGTGGGGACTCAGCAATGCCACCAAGGATCCAGGTTCTCGCCATCTTTCTAGACTACCAACCTGAGCATGCTGGCTTGGCCCTCTGGCCCCTTCCCCTCATCGTTGTCATCGCGAGGTAGCTGCTGTAGCTCTGTCCATCTCAAGCAGAGAAGGCAAAGTCCCATGGAATACGAAGGCGTCTAGCGTGTCTCTTTAACAAGAGAACTTTCCCCAGCCCTCCCACCAGCATACCTCCCCTCGGGAGTTGCTGGCCAGAACTGGATCACATAGCACCTTGACCTGGCCACTAGTGAGGAAAATGGAGTCCCTGTGATGGAGTCAGACTGCAATGGAGACTGCTCCTGAGCTAAGGATGGGCAGCCTTCCGTCAGGGTCAGACGCCTACGTGGCTATAGGTGGTCCACAGAGACTGTCACACCTGTTCACAGTATTACTTCAAGCTTGAGGTTATTATTGAAATCATGATTTTTAAAGAAATTGCTAGACTTTATCTTTTAGAGAAGTTTTAGATTTATATAGAAATAAGCAGAAAGTATACAAAGTTCCCCTTCATTGCCACTTACAGTTTTCCCATTAACATCTTGCATTAATTAGTGTGGTATATTTCTTACGACTGATGAACCAATATAGATACATTATCATTAACTGAAGTCCATACTGCACCTTAGGGTTCACTTTGGTTTTGTACAGTGTGTGGGTTTTGACATGTGTGCACTACTGTAGTAGCATACAACAGTTCCACTGCCATTATCTGCTGTGCTCTAGCTGTTCATCCACCCTTCCCAAACACCGGGCGACCACTGATCCTGCTTTCTCCATAGTATTGCCTTTTCCAGAATGTCATAGAGTTGGAATGACATAATATATAGCCTTTTCAGACTGGCTTCTTTCACCTAGCAGCATGCATTTAAGGTTCCTCTGTGTTTTTTCATGTCTTGATAGTTCATTTCCTTTTAGTGCTGAGTAATATTCTGTCGTATGAATGTACCGCAGTTTATCATTCACCGATTGAAGGACACTTCAGTTGTTTCCAAGTTTTGGAAATTACAAATAAAGCTGCTATAAACATTTGTTTGCATTTTTTGTGTGGATATAAGTTTTCAGCTAATTTGGGTAAATACCAAAGAGTGTAATTGCTGAATCATATGGTAAAATTTATTTAGTTTTGTAAGAAATGGCCACACTATCTTCCAATGTGGCTGTACCATTCTGTATACCACCAGCAGTGAATGGGAGTTCTTGTTCCTCTGTCTTTGCCAGCATTGTCAGTGTTCTGGATTTTTACCATTCTGATGTATGGTGATAAGGATCATGATTTGAAAAACATCTTGGCACAAGAAAATTTGAACACGATTGGCCACTTGATAAATTATTGTTAATTTTTTTAGTTGGAATATGGAATTGTGGTTTTGTGTTTTTAAAAGAGTCTATATGGCCGGGCGAGGTGGCTCACGCCTGTAATCCTAGCACTCTGGGAGGCCGAGGCGGGCGGATCGTTTGAGCTCAGGAGTTCCAAACCAACCTGAGCTAGAGCGAGACCCCGTCTCTACTAAAAATAAAAAGAAATTAATTGGCCAACTAATATATATAGAAAAAATTAGCCGGGCATGGTGGCGCATGCCTGTAGTCCCAGCTACTCGGGAGGCTGAGGAAGGAGGATCGCTTGAGCCCAGGAGATTGAGGTTGCTGTGAGCTAGGCTGACGCCACGGCACTCACTCTAGCCCGGGCAACAGGGTGAGACTCTGTCTCAAAAAAAAAAAGGACGGAAGGCTTCGAGCTGGCCCCGCGGCAGGGACTCCGCGCAGTCCCGAGCAGCCCCGGCTGGAGCGCAGCGCGGACGTGTTTCCGTTCACTGTAAAAAGAAACACAAGCGAGAGGAGGAAGATGATGATTGTCCTGTAAGAAAGAAAAGGCTAATTGAAGCAGAGCTCTGTGCTGGTCCTAATGACTGGATTCTTTGTGCACATCAGGGTGTGGAGGGTCATGGAGTAAATCCGTGCACTAGTGGCCTTTCTGTACCTGGCATGTTAGATGTTATTTGTGAAGAAATGGAGCAGACGACTGGAGAACCACAGTGTGAAGTTGCCCGAAGGAGGCTTCAGGAGATTGAGGACAGGATAATTGACGAAGATGAAGAAGTTGAAGCTGACAGAAATGTTAATAATCTCCCCAGTCTTGTCCTTTCTGATACCATGAAAACTGGTTTGAAGAGGGAATTTGATGAAGTCTTTACAAAGAAAATGATTGAGTCCATGAGCCATCCTTCCATGGAGCTTGTGCTCTGGAAACCTCTCCCTGAACTCCTTTCTGATAAGCCAAAGCCATCATCTAATGCTAAGAACTACACAGGAGAGAGCCAAACTAAGCATGGAGCTGCTGGCACTGCCTTCCCTCAGAGAACTGAACTGTTCTTAGAACCTCGGCAAACAGGGATGCCTCTTTACAATAGTTTGGAGACAGCTGCTAACACAGAAGAAGAGATGGAACTCTAGAAACCAGTTTCTACACTAAAGTTGTCAAATTTTAGAAGACTCCTGTGTTCAGTCATGGGCCTACTTGGATAGTATGGGGACTTGAAAGTTTTATGAAACGGGTGTAATAATATCTCCACCTGTGATTTGGGGTGGGACTCTCATTTTGGGTAGCCATTTATTGAATTCAACGTTTTGCCAAGGAAGTTTGTCTCAAGGGAAAAGCAGTTTTCTATGAGGCTTTTTAAAGGAATGGTGGATGACAGTTTCTTCAAAGGCCAAGTATAAAAGCCGTGTGTGTAAGAGTAACTGAAGGTATCTGTCACTATTGTCCAAACTATTCAGACACTTGCATAATATTCTCTAGTTGAAAAAGATGTTAAGAACGAAGGGTGCTCCTACAAGTACCTTGACAATTAAGTCACACATTAGTCTGTAGGTATAAGCAATGGTGACTATATATGATTGAGGAGAAAGATAAAAGAAAGCAGTAGCTTAAACTTATAGCTAAGAAGTTTAACAGAGGCCTTGACATTTATAAATTTGTTGTCAGTTCTTTATAGCTATGTTTATTAAATAGCCAGTAGCATTGTAGCTCTCCTTTTTGCCTCTGAAAATGCAATGAAAATACAAAGAAAAGGTTGTTCCTTTAAGGCTTTGCCTTGTGCTGCTGTTGCTCCTTGGTTTCCTTTGCATAATTGATAAGCCCAGTTATTCAGTAATGTTTACAACTTAATTAATTTTGATAGTTAAAAAGATTGAGGTAACCCATCTGCAAATTGCCTATGGGAGAAGCATCCTTTAGTTAATCCTAAGGAAGTGCTTTGTCTGCTAAACCCAGCATCGATAACTTCTGTAGTTTAAAAAAAAAGTTGTATTAGTGAGTTGAGTTTTTTAATGTTAATTTAGAAAATGATGAATAATTAACCGAGAATACATGGGCAAGTGACATTCAGGTTTACTGAACTAGCCAATTTGTCTGGTGCTTAAATTATTGTGCAGTAAGCCTAAAAGCTAGTGGAGAATAGATTCCTGCTAGCAGGAGATCATCTTGAGTACCTCAACCAAGCTCAAGGTGTCCGTTAGGGATAACCAGGATTTAATATTTTTAATTTCTCAGGAAGAGCTCTTCTGTGCAGCAAGGACTCATAGTGCAAAGTAAAATGACAGTTCCTTTATTGGTACAGAATATTCACTATAAGTTATTAAATGAGTGTAATAGTGTAATACTGGCCCTTCCATCACATAACAGGAGACCACCCCAGTTCTTTTTGTTTTGTTTTTGTGTTTCTTCTCTCTTAGTAGGAATCAGATACCTTTTGTAGAAAAACATGGTTTATGCTAAGTAGAGGTGAATTTTTAGAAACCAGCTTCCATGCATTTTGGAAACCCATACTGAAACCCCTCTCCTTGTTACAGATGGCATAGAAGTCACAGGTCTGTTAATCGGACTGTTTCTTCTCTTGCCTGTTGTTCCTGCTTTCTCTATTTCTGTCTGGATAGTCAGGAAAAGATTTAATGTTTAATATTTAAACAAAATATTTATGTCTACACAGTGAAATTATTCAAACTTCAAACCAGTATTGAAACCAGTTGGAAACCAGCTAATAGTTTCTTAATCTCAGACTTAGAGATGAATGTAAACTGTATTCTGTTGAAATGTGCAAGTGTTTGATTCATGCCGTTTGAAAAACTCCTGCCTCGAGGTCATTGTTTAATGGGACCAACTTGTAAAGTTTGTAGCCTTAAAGCAATCTCTGTGCTAAAAAATATGTTCTAGTACAACTCAAAAACATAAAACAACTGCCTGGAGTTTGAGTTAGTCTTAGTGTTATAATGGAAAGAGAGACGACAGCTTTCCTAAGGACCCAAAACATGCCAAGATTTTGTCTTCTAAAAGGATTCCTGGGCAGTCCTCTGAGTAAAGCTCTATATGATGAAAAGAGGAAAGAAGAGCCCTAGAACAAGGCTCTGATACTATTGGTAAATACAGGAGAGAATTAAGATTCTGTTAATTAAAATCCAAACAATTTGTTTTAGGAGTCAAGTTATCTGACATGATTATTTCTACAGGAAAATGGATGTTTAATGTTTCTTTCTGGGCTTTATCTTTTTGCATATGTTTGTACAAAAATTGTCATTTTCATCCTTGTGGTGCTTATTCATCTGAGCCGTCTCCATTGTCCCAATGCCTCTGCTTTTTTTTCTTTTGTAGCATAAGGCTTTTGCTTTTGCCTTAAGGTTTCCCTAGGGAATTAACAGGGCTTTTCATTTTGTATAGCTTTTGCAGCATGGATCAAACATTGGCTTACTATGCTAATGTGTGAAGAGAAAAAATTATCTAAAACAGGTGAGCTTTAATGAACAAATGTATATTTTATCTGAGTTTCAGTAGGGTGTGTGTGGTTTTTATTTTAGGGGGTTTTTGGTAATTAATATGAAGAAAGTCCAGTTCTCACAAATATCAAGTAAAAAAACATTATTCTTGAAAAGATACAAATGTAAAATTTAGAAAAATAAGGTAGGGGCTAGAACCATGAGAAGAATGTTTACCAGCAGGTTCATTTGTTATGTTGGATATGGAACTTGGCTTTGTTTTTCAGTAGTGACAAGAATGGTTCAGTACTAGGAAAGGTCTTGAAGATGCTGTCAATTTTACTTTACAGTGAAAATCTGGTGTTTCTGTATTTTATCATTTTCAATAAAACTTAAGTGTTTTGGAAAAAAAAAGAGTCTGTATGTTTAGAAATGCATACTGAAATATTTAGCAATGAAATAGGATGTTCGGAATTTGTTTCAAAATACTTGAGGATAGGGAAAGAAGTAGATGATGGTAGATGAAAAAAATTGGCCACAAGTTGATAATTGTTGAAGCTGAGCTGATGGACATGCAAGAGGTCATTATATTATTTGTGTCTACTTTTGTGTATATTGAAGTTTTTCATAACCTTTACAATTAAAATTTGATGTCATATTATTAAAAAATAGTGGGCACTTTGGAGTTTAATAAAAGTTGGAAATTGTCTTCTAGTCCCACCTGCAGCTTAAGTTTAGTCCTTAACAGTATTATGGGGAAGAAATGAATATATATTGAATAATTATATATGTTTATTATTCCTAGATTTCTAGGAATCCTCCTAGAAACTGAAGAATTTTTGTTAATATAAGCAATTCTACTTAATTTTACTTAAGCATTTACTTTAAATATTTAAATTATTTTAAGAATTTATGTGACTTTTTTAAAATAAAAATTTTTTATCACAAAAGCAAAAAGCAGTCTATGTCTAGAGAGAAAAATAAAAAGTATCTGGACAGGCAATAAAAGAACTTATATAAAGTACATCATAATCCTATCTACTCAAAGGGAGCCACTCTCAATCAATGCCTTGAGCTATAATTTTCCAAACTTTTTCCTGCATATCCAGGTATCTGTATCCATACAGTTTTTGTTTATGTACAAAACTTAAGAATTATATTCTTAACATATGTACCATTCTGCTTTATAACTCGATATGTCTGATGTATTGTTTTAGAGACTGCATAGGAAGCCATCCTATAGGTGTATTATAATTTATTTAACTAGGGCTCTTGTGTTGAGCATTGAAGGTTTTTACCTTCAAAGTTTTTTGCTATTACAAACAGAAGGAAAGCAATGTACAATTGAGAACAAACTCTGGAGTTAAATCACATGAGTTCTTTGAAGAAAAGAGTGAGTATAGAAGGCCTGGGGTGGCTGTCCTTAGAAAGGCTGCTTGCAAGGTTGACACTTGGCTGGCCTCACAGAACTTGGATTTTGGGAGGGTTCCTGCCACCCTCATTGGTAAGAGTGGCTTACTATGGCTAACCTGCGCAAACACTGTGGCATATACTGAATACCTGCTTTCCTTCGGGGAGTCTGGAATGTGGTCCGAGCTAGGCAGAAGGGGCTTATATGACCAGCCCCAATAAACACCCTGGGTGCTGAATCTCTGATGAGTTTCCCTGGTAGACAGGACTTCACATGTGTTGTCACAACTCATTATTGGGGGATTAAGCACACCCTGCATGACTCCAGTAGGAGAATATTCTTGGAAGCTTGTGCCTGATTTCTTCTGAACATATGCTTTTGCTATGATGTGTCACAGCTGTCAATACAACTGTGTGCTGAGTCTTTTGAGCCCTTCCAGAGAATCACCAAACCTTGGGATAGAGCTGGGGACCCCAGACACAGGTTCAAATCCGGTTTTAGTTGTATTGTGAATAAATAGGTTAACCGAATTATTATAAATTAGGTATTAGAGATGCAAAAATGGGTAAGACAGCATCACTGCCACTCAAAGAGTTCATGGTCTTGTAAGAAAGAATGGTTAAAATAGTGTAGTTATGTGGGAAAGTACAAGCATTTACAAGGTACAGGAGTACTGTGAGGGAGAGAATGTTTAATTCTGCCTGGGAGGGGCAGGCTCACCAAATGAGGTGATGCCTGTGCAAGAATTTAAAAGATGATATGAGGCTGGGTGTGGTGGCTCACACCTGCAATCCTAGCACTCTGGGAGGTCAAGGCGGAAGGATTGCTCAAGGTCATGAGTTGGAAACCGGCCTGAGCAAGAGCGAGACTCCATCTCTACAAAAAAAAAAAAAAAAAAAAAAAAAAAAAAGAAATTAATTGGCCAACTAAAAATATATAGAAAAAATTAGCCGGGCATGGTGGCGCATGCCTATAGTCCCAGCTACTCGGGAGGCTGAGGCAGGAGGATCGCTTGAGCCCAGGAGTTTGAGGTTGCTGTGAGCTAGGCTGATGCCACTGCACTCCAGCCTGGGCAACAGAGTGAGACTCTGTCTCAAAAAAAATAAATAAAAGAAGATATATTAGTCTGCTCAAACTGCCATAACCAAATACCACAGAATGGGTGACTTGTTTTTGTTTTTAGAATGGGTGATTTAAACAACAGAAATATATTTCTTACAGTTCTGGAGGCTAGAAGTCTGAGTTCAGGGTGCCAGCTCGTTGGGTTCTGATAAGAGCTGCCTTCCTGGCTTATGCATGGCCACCTTCTCACAGTGTCCTCATGAGACAGAGATGGTGGAGGGGGAAGGGATGAGACAGAGAGATCTTCCTCTTCTTATAAAGCCACCAATCCTGTTGGACTTATGACCTTATGACCTCATTTAACCTTGATCACCTCCTAAAAGCCCCATCTCCAATCTAAATACCGTCACATTGAGGGTTAGGGGTTCCACATACGAATGGGGGAGGTGGACACAATTCAGCTCGTACCAGATAAACAGACATTTGCCAGGCAGCCAAGTTATGGAGGGTGTTTGAAGCAGAGGCAAGGTAGCAGATATAAAAGTATAGAGACCAAAACAACAGGGTATGTTCAGGGAACCACATCTGGCTTAATGTTGCTGGAATACAAAGTAGAAGCGTGTACTTTTACAGATGAGGCTAGAATGAGGGGTGGAGGTATGGCACAAGATTATGAAGGTCCTTAACGTATCAAGCTTATGAGGACTTTATCTTCAAGGTATAGGGGAGCCATAGGAAACATTTAAACAAAGGTGTGATGGTCAGATTTGCATTTGTGATAATGTCAGTAGAGGAGCACTTTGAGCAGTGGCAAAACTGGAGGAAACCAGTGAGCCCAGCAGCTAACACAGTTGCCCTTGTGTGAGAGGAAGGCCTGAATGAAGGAAGTGAAGCAAACCTGAGAGAGAGAGACAAAGTCTGAAAAATGTTAAGGAGAGGAAGGAGGCAGGATGTGACTAAATGTTTTAGGGGTGGGAGTTGAGAGAGCCACAGGAGTCCAGGTTGGGTTGGTATCTTACTCATCCAGTTTTCATAAAGAGACGTGTTAATTGCTTGACATTCTATATAGTTAATAAACTGACTCATCAATTTCTTTCTTTTTGTTTGTTTGTTTGTTTGTTTGTTTGTTTGTTTTGAGACAGAGTCTCCCTTTGTTGCACAGGCTAGAGTGAGTGCCGTGGTATCAGCCTAGCTCACGGCAACCTCAAACTCCTGGGCTCAAGCGATCCTCCTGCCTCAGCCTCCCGAGTAGCTGGGACTACAGGCATGCGCCACCATGCCCAGCTAATTTTTTTTCTATATATATCAGTTGGCCAATTAATTTCTTTCTATTTATAGTAGAGACGGGGTCTGGCTCTTGCTCAGGCTGGTTTTGAACTCCTGACCTCGAGCAATCCTCCCACCTTGGCCTCCCAGAGTGCTAGGATTACAGGCGTGAGCCACCGCGCCCGGCTGACTCATCAATTTCTAAAACTCTGTGGATAA